GATTATTACAATATTGATTCCTCTTACCCTAAGTCTTTAGGAGAAACTTTTAATAATATTGTACTATCTAGATAATTATATATAATAACCTTGTCAACTCTCTTTTCAGAAGAACATTTTATCTACAATCAATAGTTTAACATTGTTTAACATTGTATTTAAAAGCCAAAACAAGCGCCTTTTTTTTTCTCACATCAAAGTATTACATTTGATGAATTTCATCTTGATTTGAAAATGATATAAATTTCCACTTGCTGTTTAATCTATACATTCGGATACGTGTCACTAGAGATGTACCTCTCGAGAGGTAAACCTGGCATACATTTCACATATCTCGTGTGAGACTTTATCGTGCGGGTTCGTGAGTCTCGTGATAGAGAATTCTTTAGAATATATGCTAAAAATTCATTAAAATTTTCTTAATCGAATCTCGTGAGGGTAGCGCAAGACATAGTTTGTCACGTCACGCGAGGTACATCTCTACGTGCCACTTTGTCGACAATCACTTTACAGAGCACCCTACTATAGGTGTAGGTTACTGAGAATATTCCATCGTAAAAGACGCGTCGACACGTCTTTAAAATAGGATATAACCCAGTGACGTTAACATTTTTGTATCCATACCCATCACACAAATGATAATTAGCATTAAGTTGTTAAAAACGTCTCATTGGAGAAAACATTTTGGTAGTGTTACGGGCGGAAATTAACATAAGTTTAACAGGCGAACGATAATCGATAATACGATTTACAAAGCAAGTTAGCAATTCATTAGAGACCTGACGTGATTTGGCAAAAAAAGATTTAGGTTATATTTTTATGGATTTGTAGTTTTATTAATTGATTGAATTGTTTAACCCGAGTTGTATTTTTACAACAGCGAAAACACAATATAGAGACAAAGGAGGCTTTGACTTATTATTTCTTAGCTAGGACCCTTAAAAAGTTTACAATATTCGTTTGAAGGAAAAGGACTTTAACGATGATTTTAATGATTCATAAGAGAAATTATATGATTTCTTTTCCCTACGTTAATCTGAGCCAGAAATACAACTTTTTCTCGATGCACACGGGTCCATATCCAAATCACGTGGCCTTCGCGTAATGAGAAAGTTCGCGTTTGTGTAACCATCATAAGTAATCATACGATTCATGATATTATCGTATGATTTCTAAGCCTCAACGTTAATGAAAATTCACCGTCTCGACCATAGTATCATGACCTTCTGTCAAGTAATTTGTGACGCAGTTATCTTTTACCTGTGACAATAACAAATCTAAACAGACCAACCCCAACTAGATCAAAATTATTCATTGTCAAAGAAATATCAAATAATATTTATTAGTGATTTCATAAATCGAACTATATTATTAATAAATAAATAAATTTTTTGTTTTTTAAGTAAAAAAAAAAAAAAGAAAAAAGGCTATATGTACAACTCTATTTAACATCACATAGCTGTAATTCAAATGTATCTAAAGGTAATTAAATATTATAAAATAGTGGTTTTATTTAATTTTTTTTAGATGCAAATTAGGTGATTGGTGAATCTATCACGCTGACAAAGTCCCATAGAAATCGTCAGAAAATCTACTTAAACTCTAGTGTTTTTGTGATCCGAGCTCAGGCCAATTATTTCATCATTACTGTTTCTCTCATTCTGCCACCTATCCTCCGGCTTTGTATTTTGATCACGTTGACGTATAAATATTGGCTTAAGATACTTATCATCAAATGATATAAACCAATGAGCATGTGTTGATGTATCATTGATGTTCGGGGATATATTTCTTGACGGAATATTGTGTTCCGCAGAACCTCCAGTATCAGACGATACAATTGACCCCTGAGAATTTGTTAGCACATTGTTATAATCATCATATTCACTATAACATTCTTCATCGCTATCAATTTCTCCCTCGTCTACTCCTGTTTCTATTTTAAGAATTTCTAACATTCGACTTGTCGTGCCACCAAATACAATAACACTAAGTACCACTACTACCAAAATTGTTGTCTTCATAGCATTAGCATTATCACCTTTGAGACCAGCTGCTAATGCAAACGCCACAGCACCACGCAAACCTTAAAGAAAAGGATAATTATTAAAAGGCGAGTCTTATCTAAACAGTATTCTTATAAAGCATTTCTCAATTTTCATGTAATCATATGGAAAATTGGGATATACTTAACAAATAATACAAGATATAGATATGAATTTATAATACATACCACACCAGAAGATCATTGCGGAATGTTTATTTGGAATTATTTCTGACCGTTTACGATAACGCGCAATAGCATTTAACATATTCGAAAGTGGAAACACGGCACAATATCGAGATACGCATATAAATATCTACATTAACAAATCTATTTATTAATAACGTTGCAGAAAAATGTAATACATAAAATTTTTGTTAAATTTCACTTACTGCGGTGAAAAATATAAAGAATGGCTTATATTCAAGATCTTTTTCAGTGAATAATGTTAATCCAAGATAGATGAATATAAAATTTTCAGATAATTGCGCTAAAACTCGAAACATATATTTTGTAGTTCGCTTGGTCATTAAAGACATATTATCATATGCATAGTGTTTAAGCGTGATACCACAGAATAAAAGAGACACGATGCCTACAATGAGTAATTATGATAGTAAGATACATTTAAAGTATGAACATAAAATTTGAGCAAGTGTTAAGCTGCAT